CTATGTTGCATCAAATTACCTTTGCAATGGTTATATGACAAGGTCAGAGAAAGGGGTCATAGGTGTAAATGTAACCACCATAACATTTACATTCAGAATGATGCATATGCCAGTGAAGATTGTATAAATATTGGGAGGCATGACCTGGAATGTAATATGTGTAAATGTCAACACATTCAATGTTAATTGTGACTTTTATCACTGAACTATTCCATCTGCTATAAGTTATGCATAACTTCAACATTGCTCAGAAAATACTTAACACTTCATCCTGAGCTACATAGCTTTTGGCTGTATAAAAACATGACTCCCACGTCTTCCGCTTTATGCAATGAAATTTGCACAATACAGAAATAGAAGTCGTTACCTTAATTTCCAACAACGAAGGACATGTTTTGAAGCAAGAACCTAGGGCATATTTGTGTTTTTATGGCAATTTGTTGTGAATTTTGTGGCAGAGAGAGAGTAGGTTACCCAAATAGATTATGTAAAGCGAACATTGAAACTGAGGAAACAGGTATATTGGCTAATTTCTTTTACATCCAGTATATCTATCCAGGCAGAATTGTTTTGTCACTGGGGCAGAACAGTGCATATACATAGCACACAGCCCTGGCTGATGCTCTGGAATCTGTTTCATGCTTGTTTGATTCCTAAAGCAGATGTTCCCCTTGATAAAACAATCTTCCTGGAGCTGGATGTGCACCTCAGAAATACTCAGCATTGCAAAGTAACAAAAGTATGAAATCAGTTTTCGGAAGCAGCAGGTAATGTTTGGATGTATTGTATATCTATTTTATTTACACTGAAAGAAAGGGCACTACTCAAATATCCTCAAACCTAGTAAAATATATTTTATTACTTAAATCCCTGAACGGAGACAGGTTTTGATAAAGGACATAATCTAAATGTTAATGTGTTGGGTCCTTGAGGGGTATTCTGTAGATATTGCAGGTTGATTTCAATGAGGAGAAGAGAGGAGAGAATTAATGGCAAGAAAATGTACCCTTAGGCTTACACAACTTTAAGATCCTCTTCACTCTGTGGGGTTTGGAGTAGAATAGACTTGAAAACTAACTTGGTTAAAACTATGGTCATTGTGATGGAAATATGTGATTTATGTTTCATGTTTGTGTCACATGTCACTGATGAAGTAAGAATTTCCATTTATTTCTACTTAGTTCTTTCTGGCATACTGTTTGATGATGAAAAGTAATCGAGATATGTAACAGTAACAAAGTGATGCATAACATGTCCCTTCATCTTGTCTTTCTTGTGACCAAGATTAAAGAAAGAGTGTAAGTACATAGCCTAATGTATATCTGTAAGTACCTCAACAACATTTTGACAAATACAAAGCCAAAGTTGTTTTGTCTATGAGGTGAAGTCTGTTCCTTATTTCATCACTATGCCGACATATATGTTGTGAAGACAAGTCAGCCAGGCTCTTATCACCTACATTCAGAGGGTGCTGGTAACAATCTACAAGAAACAATTCTTGCACAGACACTGTTATCATAAGCCCATAACTTACCTTGAATATAGGGGTATGTGTGGTCAAATTGCCTGCCACACAGCAGTTTGCTTTCCTGAGTTGCATCGCTTAGATATACTACATCCTAATTGGACCCAGATTTGCCCGATTATGATTCTTGCTTTGTCAGCACTTCGTTACCTAAACGGTAAAGAACTGTGTGACTTGCTTTCCATTCAACTGGCAAGCCATAATATGATGCTTTGATATTATGATGAGGAAACTATTTTTTTTAGTGTGAAAAGAAACATTACATTTCCATTTTAATTTGTTTTACACAGAAATAGAGTTTGGATACTTATGTTGCCATTTCCAAAGCACAACACAAATTGTAGGTAACTATAACCTAAGTTTCTGGGTGCTGAGAATGTTTTAATTTAGACATTTCTAAATTTGACACATCAGTGACAAAAAAGGTGTCTGATGCAAAAAAAGAAAATTCCCATTCTGACAATTGACTAGCCTTTGCATGTGTTTGTGATGGATGCCACCGGTGGGCAGGATGCACTCACCTTTCCACAAACACCTGGGATCACCGCTGTTGGAATCTGGTTCCTAAATTCAAGCTCATGATAGTTGGAATCATAATTGTTTTAGCAGAGATTATTTATGGATGTATAAGGGGAGTTGTCGCTTTTATTAGCTGTAGCTATGGAGTAGAACCATTTTTATATTCTCCCTAGTCAGTTGCCAATAAAGTTATCAAAAGGACAGATCGTGAAGTGAATGTACATGCAATAACTGAGTTAAATGTCTGTACTGGTTGTGTCCTGTCACAGTTCCTCTGATAGAAGCCAGCCATGTGGCATCAGCTAAATACATCAACAATGCGGTATGTGAAGAGAAAACACTGTAGACTATATAGACCTTTATGAGGGTTGAGGAAACAGGATCATGCATCTAACACAGAGCTGGGAAGGTATGTCTGGATGGTATGGAGTGCGTAGCTGGTGGAAGAAGCTAGGCCATGATGAACAGAAGCAGCATGCTTGGAAAAGGAAATAAGGAGAAGAGCTTTGCACTGCTTTTAACAGTTCAGCCATCTTGTCATATGGCATAACACTATTTCAATATAAGTAAAGGGTCATTTTGGCTGTTGTCTCTTGGAAAGGTGTGAAAACTTCATGAAAGGGCTTAATTTGCGTTTGCGTTTTGATGACGAGTAAAAGTGTGAAGGTGGTACTTAGGTGTGGGGGCAGCTCTCTATTCTTGTACCATTATGCTACTTTTATTGTAGCATTTACATGGCTGCACGTGTAGGCTGACAGGGTATTGCAACACACTCTTGTCATATAGCCTCGGATGTTGCAAGCAAGCAAAGGGTAATAGACCATTACTGCAGTTAAGAACACTGCCAAATTGATGGGAAGATGAAGATTTGTCAGGAACATGAAGAAAAACATTTGTCAGGAACATGAAGATAAACATTTGTCAGGAACATGAAGCTAAACATTTGTCAGGAACATGAAGCTAAACATTTGTCAGGAACATGAAGCTAAACATTTGTCAGGAACATGAAGATAAACATTTGTCAGGAACATGAAGATAAACATTTGTCAGGAACATGAAGATAAACATTTGTCAGGAACATGAAGATAAACATTTGTCAGGAACATGAAGATAAACATTTGTCAGGAACTTGAGAACTTGTGATACACACATTCATGTGTGTATGTTAAAATTTAAAAAAATATTTATTGTTCATATGAGGATGTTTTCGTCCCTATATGAATTACAATTAACTGACTGACTTTCACTGTGAATGATTCCATTGCAGTATGAAACATCATTGTTTGAACATCTGCTCTTATGATCTTCAAACAATATTGACAAACTTTATTGATAACCACTTCTTTCATTATTACTGTGTTCCTCACTAGCTTATTGGTACTCATTAATGAGGTCTTGGAATGGCATGTGTGACTTATGGTTGCAGTGAGAGCATGCAAACAGGTGTGTTGTAGAATAAAATAGTGCAAATAGAGATGACATAAGCACATGTATGCTCAAATTGTTCTATGTTAAAATCTGTTTTAGTTTGGTTTCATTTGGTTAGGTTAGTTTAACGTAGTATTGACAGTAGATGAGAAAGGTCTGTTAAGTACTTCAGTAAATCAGCCACGGTAACAGACCATTGTAATATGTTTACATCCAGTACAGGAAGACACAATAGACATCATGGTCTGCATGATAGTGGAAACCTTCAAAGTTGTTCATGTACTGTGGCAATTATAAGTTTTGGTAATCATTGACCAAGCCAGAGATTGCTGTAGGCTATCGCAGTCAGTCCAGACGCTGATTGAGTTGATAGCTCCTGTCTGCATTTCCTTATTTTCTTCACAAGGATGGTTGTGGCAAGTCTTTTCCCAGTGTGAGGTGAACTGCTAACCGGTAGTTCAAGATAAAAGGGTCAAAACCACTTCTGTATGATGCATGCAGATAATTCTCAGGGTTTCCCAAGGAATGAGGAAGTATTTCATCAGTGTTTATGTCATTTCAAGAATGCAATCTCATGAAAGTAGCATCAAAATGTGTCAATCATGTGATTATGAAGGTAGTCATGTGACTATCCTGTTGTCTGTAAAACTGTAAGTCATGTGTACACGTATTGACATGCAGTGGTATAAAACTGTAAGTCATGTGTACACGTATTGACATGCAGTGGTATAAAACTGTAAGTCATGTGTACACGTATTGACATGCAGTGGTATAAAACTGTAAGTCATGTGTACACATATTGACATGCAGTGGTATAAAACTGTAAGTCATGTGTACACGTACTGACATGCAGTGGTATAAACACACGAGCAACTACTGTTTCACTTAACATCTTTGTTGTTACAATTCATAAACATCAAACACAGCAGTACAATGTTCTATGCAAGATTATTGTGTTCCTTACTAGTTAATTCTTACTCATTAATGAGGGGCATTAATGGCCTAGTGGGCTGAGGTGTTTCATTTAGCTGCGCAACTGCATCCTTTACTTGTGCGATGATCCTGATGCAGCATTAAGCAATAATCGCTCACTCACTCACTGTGCAATGATCTGCAGAATTGAGGGTTGAATAATGATTGTGATCTTTGGCCTTTCAGCACCATAACAGTGATCAGTTATGAACTGCAACACTTCCTCCCACGTTGTGTTGACACATTGTTATAACATACCCTAGTATGGTGACCTTACATTTCTCGCTAGCAATGTATGGTAGTCAGATATGATATTGTCAGTTTATATATCATAGTCAGATATTTTAGAGTTTAACTAATTTTTAGTAATTTTTAATACATATTGCTGGTTAATATATTGTCCTTTAATGACAGGTTTAAAAGTATAGTAATATTGTATAACTTGTTCAAGTTACAAAATTTCTGAATATTGATGATGTGATGTTAGGATTTAACTCACTCACTCAAAGAAGGTTAAACCCAGCTCACTCACTAATGATTGTCTGTTGCTTCCCAGAGTGTTGTGGACAAGCTGCTGAAGAAAGCCAATGTGTCCCTGGTTGTTGGAACATCGTCATGGAGGGAACAGTTCACAGAGGCCATCACTGTCAGCGCTGGTTAGTACTGCACTGATTTCACATCACTAACTCTTGTGCCTGTCAGCCTTGTAAGGAATCCCTCAAGCAAAGGCCATAATCATATTACTTGTTCGTGTTAAATGCACTTCTGCCATAATGAAATATGAACTGTCTTTTCAACTTTATCTGTTTTCCAACTCAAACTTTAGCTCTGTTCAGAATTCTTCAGACTGGAATGAATTATCAGATTGTCATTCTTATTCCAGAAAGTTAATGAAGGAGACGTATTGTTTTCATCATGCATATCTTTCAAAGCAAAAACATGAAAACTGAATGAGTCCTTTGGATATACTTATAACAACAGAATACAGCTGAATCTTAAATACATTTTATGATGATCTAAAGGGGTGATATTGAATAGTAACGAGCAGAAAAAATGCGACAAAAAAATTTATTCTGTAGACTTGATCCCACTATCAAAAAAAACGAAATACATTGTTTCTAGCCGCCATGGGTTGCCTCGTTGGTATGGAATTATCTCCCTTGGGTTCAGGGATGGCTTGATCACGTGACCTCGTTTCTAGCAGACGATACCGAAGCTTTACCATGACGTTACAAAACAACAGAAATCGACTCTTGGCATGTTATGAAGCAGGTATTACATCCGTTACTAGACTTGTGAAACTGACGGGACTGCATCGGACCTCTGTTTACCGAAATTTGAAGAAATTTGACGCAGGGCTAGGGACAGAGCGACAGACTGGATCGGGACGTCGTGCTACTCTTGGGGCAAATGACAGACGACGTATCGCGCGTCTCGCGGCGCAGTACCCAAACTGGTCTGCAAAACAGCTTGCTGTGAAGGCGTCAAGTCAAGGAACCCCTAAGGTATCAGAATGGACAATCAGAAGATCTTTAAAGCAATCTGGATATGTCAAGCGAGTGCGGAAGAAAGTTCCATTGATGACAACAGCACATATGGAGAAAAGGCTCGAGTGGTGCATGGAAATGCAGGGTACAGACTTTTCAAATGTGATTTTTACGGATGAATGAAAGTTTCAATTTCATAGGATCACAAGAAAGAGGGGGTCAAGAGGTGGAAGTAGCTGCAAAATGATTCAGAAGTTCTCATGGTTTGGGGTGGTATAGGCAAGCTCGGGGTAACGCCGCTGCTAACTATTACAGGAAGGATGGATTCACCCAAGTACTGTCAACTTATACAAGAAGGCATCGTGGAATCCCATATAGGACAGAGTGGAATACCTTTCAAACTTTTACAGGACAATGCACCTGTACACAAGTCAAGACAAACCTGTAACTGGTTTGAAACGAGTCATGTGACCTTACAGAAATTTCCAGCGTCATCACCACACCTGAACCCAATTGAAAATGTGTGGCAGATTATGAAGGACAAATTAGAAAAGTTGGAACCGAAGAGTGTCGTTGAGTGGTCTAATCTCATCAGTCAAATATGGGTGGACCTACCCCAGGACTACATAGACAATTTGATTGACAGCATGGGACGCCGTATTCAGCAGTGCATCGAGGGAAACGGTGGACTTACAGACTATTGACTTGCATAAATGTAAACTTCAGTATCCAGAGTGGATGTATGAAAAATATAACTGAATTTATCAGTAAATAAATTTTGAAACTACGTCTGTGAAAAGTCGCATTTTTTCTGCTTGTTACTGTACATGTTAATTCATATTGATGTATTTATGAAGTTTAGTGGTATATTATTTTGAGAGCTGACAATCAACACTGGTAGATTCTAGAGATGTGGCAGAAATGCTCTGATGATGTGGATTGAATTTACATCAAAACACCTAAAGAATTCCCCATGTGTACTCTTAATCAGCTACAGCAGCATGTTGTTCAGCTATTTTATCAATATGTATTTTCATATGAAATTGTTTTCATTTTACAAATTCTTTATTAACATGAATATCAGCCTTGTTTCTTTTTTTCTGTTTAAATGATTTGTAATGGAGGGAATTTTTAAGAGAAAGTTTCCGATTTTATTGACACTTAATCCTGTTATCATTTACAGAAGCTTGCGGGGGTAAATTCTTTTATCTAAGAAATAAGCATTGTATGGACCATCTAGGTTTCCGTGTGCATATGTATACAAGGTACTACCACTAACTGGTTATGGGTCACAAGGACTAATATTAGACAGCTTGCACCGTGTACTTAGAACCTGTCAATAACACTACTATAAATGATAATTCACTGTTTTCCTCAAGTCTACCACTGTATCCCAGTCAGCAGTGTCATCAATTACCATAGGATGGCTGCCAGCTAGGGACATTCTGCGGATGGTTTTACTGTTTACTATGGGTCTCCGTAGTTTTAGAAGCAAATTTCAGCAGTTTTTATCATTCTCATACAACAGATGTGTGTAGTAAAATCAAATGTTTGATTTTGTTGACTGGTTCATGTTGGTTAATGAAGTAATTGAAAATAATGTTTTCTAGTTGTACTTTGAAAACAAAATGATGTTTGGAAGACTATATCCTGAGTGTAAGCCATAGTCATTGTTATCAAAAGAGGTAAATATTTGAAAAAGTTCATGTTGTATTATAGTATAAGCTAGGAGCAAGTGTATTTGTGAACAATTTTGGTTTGAACAGAAAAGAAAGCGAAAACCGAGATGTGTAAAGGTGGGTATGCTGCCAAGTCACTGCAATGTGTGTACTATGTATTCATATATAAATGTATGTATACTGGATTATGTACCAGAAACTGTCAGTGTCAGAGATATGTACATAGATGTAGGTAGATATTGGAACTACATAGAATACATCGCAGAAGTTCAGTATTGTCATTGTCTTGTCATTATATGAATATACACAATATTCTGTACTTATGACACATTCACAGATGTAAGCTTGGCAACACACAACTATGTTGTGTCTTGCTGCAAACCCCTTCATTACAGATGTGTTCGAGCTCTGTAGTGTTTGGCCACAGAGCAAACCTGGTATATCAACCCCTCACAGACCAAAAGACCCAAAAGTCCCATTTTTAGTGTGTGCTGAAAGATTTTGTTTAATCCCTGAAAACTATTATTTCTAATCCTTACTGCAATATGACCATCATATTTTGTTCCAAACACATCCCTCTCGCTTTCCCTGTTTTGAGACCCGTATCTCCTCTACACCTTACATTTACCCTTGTGAATTATCACTGCATGTATATGTCCATCACATCATGTATAGTTAGACACTCAGAATAGAAATTCTGTAAGCAGTTGAGACAGTGGAAATTCATAGAAGTTTTTATCAAGTTTCAATAGCTATCACCTACACAGTAGCACTAGAATTAGATGTAGTGTGTAGAAACACCTCTAATGCACTGTAAGGATTGCTGACACAGCACTTTCTTATTAGGTATGGATTCAGAATATGAGACTGGTAAGTCAAAACATGGGTAGGTAGAGATATATTTCATCAAGTGCATATTGCATAGAAAAAGTTCAAATATGTTTTGCTACTTGGTACGTTAATGAGATCATTTCTTTACTAACAAACAGCTATGGTGTTATTAACGATACTGAATCATGGGTGGCCTATTTATTTTCATTAGGTCGCTCTAATTACTACTGACATTTTTCATGTGCTCTGATTCAAATGTCAAAAATAATTGCTTTCATGGGGATTTTTCATGTTATATTTAGGCTACATTGGTAACTTTTATACATGCTATTTGAAGGCAGTTTATGACTACTCCAGAATAGCAACCCATCATAGAATCAAATAGGTATAACTTCAATGAACATGTGATATATATATTGGAGCACATGAACAGAATGAGTCAACCTCTGGCAGTGAAACTATTCTAAGTCCTTTGATATCATCTAACCAATTCCTTTCCCTCTAACTGCCATATTCTGTCTACAAATATTGATATTATGGCAAAAGATTTCTGTCAATTGATATTCCTTTCTAGATGCTTTAAGTGTTTTAATCATTGATGCATTTTGGTAGGAGTTATGTTATTTGGAAAGTGCATGTAGGGACTCAGCTGTACACGGTGCACTGCTTGTTACCCATGGGATGAGAATTATTATGGGAGAAGTACTGATTATGTGACAGTGTAGCAGGTTCTGTCTGAAAGACAAAATTAAAACTTAGCAAAATACTTTATCAAAATACCTTATCAGGTACAATGATCAAATGATTCAGGTAAAAGGTGAGCTGCAGAACATCATACCTTTATTACTGTATGCCTCAATATTCTGATATTGAATAATTCTCCCATGCAAGCTACCCCTCAGTACGATATTTCCATCCCTAGGGAGAAGCCTCAGCATGCCACTAGCATAAATGTGTGTAGCTAGTTGTGGCATTGTGACTTCCCTGGATGTTGTATTTGCCAGCTGAAACAGTTCTACATACATGTTTTGTTACACATCTTTTGTACATACATTCTTTGTTTTGTTCATTCTGAAGTGATACATATAATTCTTATGAATTTGTTACATCAAATAGGACAATTTGGACAAGTTTATTGTGGAAAATATTATTGAACAGTGATTCCTTAGACAATTGCTCACTGGTGATACTTGTATGAAAATATGTAGTCCTCATGTAAACTGATGTACTGCCAGTAATGGTTTTGTCTCACATGCAATGGGGGCGGTGGGGTAGCCTAATGGTTAAAGCGTTGGCTCGTCATGCCGAAGACCCGGGTTCGAATCCCTACATGGGTACAATGTGTGAAGCCCATTTCTGGTGTCCCCCGCCGTGATGTTGCTGGAATATTGCTAAAAGCGGCGTAAAACCAAACTCAGTAAGTCAGTCAGTCACATGCAATGGTCCAGTTCGTCAGCAGTGTGAGTTCAATAAGAACACTAATTCAAGGCTTAATCAGGACTTTTGTAGGGCAAGTAGTATCTCTATAAATGTACAAACATGCCACTATAAGACTAAGTGCATTTTACACCACAGCCGGTTATATTCATACCATATCATAGGATATGTGACCAGGTGCCATTCTGAACTGATTCCACTCCCAACAATTCATGGCTTGAGTAATGTTAGTTTCACAGGGCAGTTATGTGTTCTGATTGTCGGGCTGTGGCCCTGCTTGTATGGTAACATGGGGACAGCAGTGTCAGAATAAGATTCACACAGATGTCATGGATCTATTTTCAGTGTCCCAGAGTAAGCCTTGAACTCCCTGTGAGCTAGCTATCCTCATATAATCCACCAAGGTTGTTTTGTATTGTCAGGCATCATCTATCTCTAGACAGTAGGCAGCAAAGTGTCTGGTGTACACACATATAACCACTGTAGTTACATGTTGGTGTTCAATGTTGTCAAAGTGGATGCTGAAAAATATTTATCACTCAAATTATGTTATGTCACAGAAGATGCTCAAAATAATAAATCACTCAAAGTTATCTTTTCTGTACATTTTCACACGCATGGCCCATGCAGTGCTTTTCCTTCAGCACCATATATACGATGAAGTAAGAATGTCTGTGGTAATTAATAATGTGAAGGTTATGTGATAATTATGGCTGCCTTTTACCATGGCAGAAATACCATTTTCTGACACTGAAATACATTTTACAGGAAGTCTTTGAAGACTTTGTTAAAGTGATTTATTACCCATTCACTAAGTATTATTATGCATTGAAGTGATAAAGAAATTGTATATAAACTGACTAAATCTGTGCCTGTTTTTCTCTCTCCATTCCTTACTGGTGCGCTCCTATCTCTTAGTAGGACAGCTTGGTAAGTCCTGAAACAGTGACCAGCTCACCAGTCTAGATGCTGAAATATTTGGTTGCAATTTTCATTTTCTTTGGATCATATCAACCCTGATTCAGGTTACTCTATTTCTGTTGATAGTTTTAATAGATATAGCTGAGGAGTATGTTGATTTCATTCTAGGAACATGTTCATATTTTAGAAACATGCAAAGTATTTTACGTGTGACATGTAGCCAGTGTTTCTTTCTTGAAGAGGTAGTTGATTTTCACTGTTTATATGTCTTTCTGTGACAAAAGCTTTACACTCTTTCTCTCTCTCTCCAGTAATAAGAAGTAATAGATCTACACACTCTTTCCTTCTGTCTCAAAGAGGTCCCTAATCTACTCCTACTTTCTCCTTCTGTGTGTTTTCATATCTTTAGTGTCAGTTTGATAGCTTCTATGTCAGTTCTGTAGTGCAGTATAACTCCATTGTAATGAACATGGTTTATGCACTCATATCAGCTATGAACCTTGAGAAATGTTATAGATAATAATAAACGAAGAAATTGCTGACAACTTAAACTCTAATACCATACACATTTTTCCCTAAACAAATGATAAACATTAAATATGCATACCATTATATGACATGCTGTTTCTCAGGTCGCAGTTGGATATGATGGTCTGTTTCAATTTGTTCTTTTTATTATATCTAAATTTGTAAAAAGCAGACTGAAGCCAATAAGATATACCACATATATCCTTTAAACGTTTGCATGTTCATTACTTTGAATTGACATGGGGATTTTTAACACTTATGAAGATGACAGTATGCATTTTGAATTATTTTCCATGAAAAGTTTATTCTTTGAAATGAGAGTTTATGTATTGTTGATATTCTGTTGTTGTGTAGTTAAATATGAGCACATGTATGTGGTAACTCCCATGATGCACCATGCAGGTATATCCCTGGTAAACTATGGTTTTCCCATGGGAACTGAACATGAAGACTACCGGAAGCAATCTTCTGCAGCTGAAACCAACTGATTGTAGTTTTTCATTACATCATTAACCTGGCACTTGCTAAAGCAACACTATTGGCTAATGTGACTGTCTTTGACATGTGTCTGTTGTGTCATCAGGTGATGAAGATGAGTCTGATGAAGATGCTGAGGAGAAGTTGCCCAGCTGTATGGACTATGTCATGCACTTCCTCACCCTCTTCTGGAAGGTCCTGTTCGCATGTGTGCCACCCACTGGTATGTTAAGTGTCTTTTTTAAACAATTAATGTATGTCAAATGTGTCTGGTGATTTTAATACTAATGGTATACATATATCACATTGTGGCTGAGGTTACAACTATGTCACATTGTTTCTGAGGGTACAACTATGTCACATTCTGTCTGAGGGTACAACTATGTCACATTCTGTCTGAGGGTACAACTATGTCACATTCTGTCTGAGGGTACAACAATGTCACATTCTGTCTGAGGGTACAACTATGTGGTGCAGATGTGATTATGTACAGGTTGCCTTCATGTAGCTGGAATAATTAAACAATTGAACAAAATTACATAAACTGTAACTGTATCTTCTATTACATAACGCAACAGTATATCAACTGTAATTGTAAATGTCATTGTCTCGTTTTCTGCGCAACAGGTATCCCATTAACTTGTGTATAATGTGAAATAAGTTTTTAAGGTATATGCTTTGTGCACTGTAGATGAAACCAAGGTATTTGAAATGGTTTATGGACATCATGCCCAGAATATCAGTGTTCCTCAATAATCGTGCAGTGGACAAATGTCATGGTTTGACATAGTGATACTGCGGAAGGCTTTTTCCCACTAGTGTTCTGGTACAATATGCATATTAATCAGCCTGTGCAAATATAGAATAATGATAGGACCATATCTTATGTTAGCTTAACTGCAGGAACTAAATACATCATGAGCCCAACCCATCCTTTACATAAATGTGGTAATGGACAACATGAAATTAACAGTTATTCATAGATCAGATAATGAGACATCATAAAGCTAAATTTACAGTCAGTAGAAGCCGCTGTAGGAAGACCACGCCTTGACAACTCATTGTTAAATAATTTAGAATGGATTTGATATCATTGTTCCTGATGCTGATAGTACATGTTCACTTTCGTCCTCAGCACTGAGGGAATGAGTATTGATAAGAGGACATTAATTGGAAATGTATTACAAAAGTTGCACAAGATTTTCTCCAGTTCCTTTGTACTTACCAGTGTATACGTATCTATAGATGTATATATATATGTGTATATATATTCACTGATAAGTACAAAGGAACTTTAAAATACATTGCACAAGATTATCTCCTGAGGAAGCTAAGCTTGCTTAATTGTCTTTTCTTTGTCATGTGCATAAGTGTTTGCTATGTGTCTACACACCCTCTTTCATTTAATGAATAATGTAATAACAAGGTACTTCACATTCATGTTTTTTATGTACAAATTTGGTGAGAGGCTCTTTGGTTTTCATAGGTGAGTCTGTAGCTAAATGTATTTTGTCTGCGTGTCGCAAGATCACCCCTGAAATGAATGAAATAGATACCAATATAAATGTCATAGTGATTTTGGCAACTTGTTGTAGCTGTATCCTCGTGAGAATGTCAGAGATATAGAAGTCATCGACACAAAGCAGATTATACATTCTTCCTTCAGATTTGTGCCAGGATAATTATTGAGTACAATTAGTGATAGAACTCCACTGTCCACCATATAGAGATTAGTCTTGTTTGGATCAAGCAAACCACATCAAGTAGGTTTAACATGGACCACACAGCAGCAGGTGGTCCATCCCTTATTCAGTCACCGTGCATGGGCTGCAGTGTACGGGATGTTTTATTATCAAGAACACCCACTAGGAAGCCAGCTTTTTAATGAATCTTGATTTATTTATTTTTACTCATGTGTACATTGCTATTTTGTTTCAGATTACTGGGGAGGTTGGGCATGTTTCCTTGTGTCCATCCTTGTCATTGGATTTCTGACTGCTATCATTGGAGATCTGGCCTCCAGTTTCGGCTGCACTGTGGGTCTAAAGGACTCTGTGACTGCTATCTCATTTGTTGCTCTTGGCACTAGTGTACCTGGTAAGATATCGATTATGTTTCAATCACCATGTATAATAATTGTATTTGATGAAGCAAACCACATGTCTGGGAAAGCGGTTATGATCATGTAAGAGTGTGTAAGTGTGCTGGTTAGGGTTGGGCTAACATGTAGTTAAAGTGCTGGCCCACTGAGATACCATCAAGATACCTGTGAAAAAATGTCTTTGTTTGTTTGCTTCTTGTATCTTAGCAAGGATTGGAAATTTTACTGGCCTGCAAAAATAAATTAAATTTGCTTTAAGGAATACTCAGTTCTTGTTGAAGTACAAGATTTGGTATTTGGATGTTGTTGTGAACTCTCATCTTTGAGTTTTGGCTGGTGGACTTATGGCTTATCTTCTCTCCTTGATGTACATTTAATATCATGATTTGATGTACAGCATTTAAAAAGACAGATATCAAATATCAAGATTTATTCAATTATGAAGTAAACTCCTCATATGTTATATCAACAGAGAAAGGTTAGAGATTTTGAAAGAACCAATCATCATTTTACTATGAGTACACTAATTATGGTTTCCATATTCCAGATACATTTGCTAGCAAAGTTGCAGCTGTCAATGACAAATATGCTGATTCTTCTGTGGGCAACGTGACCGGAAGTAATGCTGTTAACGTATTTCTTGGTATCGGAATTGCATGGACAATAGCAGCTGTTTACTGGGCGATAAAAGGAGAAGTTTTCAAGGTAGATCCCGGCTCCCTTGCAGTCTCAGTCACCGTATTCTGCTGCCTGGCAGTTGTTGCTATAGTCGTCCTGGTTGTGAGAAGACAACCATTTGTTGGAGGAGAACTTGGCGGGCCCAGCGAAATTCAAATATCCAACAGCTATCTTTCTCGTATCTCTATGGCTGATCTATCTTCTTATATCATCATTTGTTGCCTACTGCTACATCCCTAACTTCTAAGTCCCCTATGAATCCATATGTCCTGACAGACTCCTTGCCCCTAAGATGGTGGCTGAGCCAAGCGACTGAATATAATTCATGTGACTGGAGAGTGCTTGTCATGGTTGGCTGCCTTAGATCACATGATCTCAAGGAACAAGGCCTGTCAATCAGTCGTTCATGGAGTTCGGAAAATGAAAGATTTTAGGTTCAGAGGTGGTTTCAATTTCTCAAGGACTAAAGAGACCAAAGTATATATGGTAAAAGATGAATGAATGACCTTCTGTGAATTGTTCTGTTAGAAACAAGGAATTCTTTTTCATTCCTGCATGAAAATTTTGAGTTGACAGGTCTGAAAACTGTATTGGTGGCAGCACTGAATGATCATGTTGGATGTCCCGAAAATTGTTAATGTCTTCAGTGATTCGCATGTGAGCGCAGGCTGGAGTGTTGTCCTCTCAAAGTGAAACACAGATCTCTGTGTGCTCCAGTACCGAGAAGGGAAAGAGTGGAAGCTAACCTGAACATCACTGAATTGCATATTTGACATCGCCAAGGGAACTGACTGGTGATGACAATATGGCATCAGGGAAAGAGGGTAACTTGTCCTGAATGAAGAATGTGTGGATCAAGAATTGCATAGACAGGGCAAGAGTTTCCATGTCAAGCCGAGGGAACAATTCCTTTGTGCTAACAGAGCTGAGTGGTGATTCTGAAAGAACAAATGTTTTAGAGCCGTAGATTTATCTGTACATAGATCTATATTTATGTACGGTACACCATTTGCAAAAAAGTGGTTTTACATTATTCTAGAGTCCCATCACGATGAACAAGATTCAGCTAGGTGGGTTATCTCCCTTTACATTACCTCAGCTGTGGAAGGTGGCCTACATATCGACACCACATGACTTTTATGAAAGACAGCTGTTACCTGTTTGATGTGTCACTGCCTTTACTGCATTTGACCATAGTATACAAGGTGATGGAGGAGTGTAAAGTGAGAAACCACCTACTGCAGTACACGAAGCCATATATACATTGTGGTTCCCTAATGAGTGCAATCCTATCCAATTTTTGTTTCTATTTATATGTGAAGCATATTTTTTACTTTTGTTTCCAAGTATTTATACAACTATTTATCTATTTACCCTGTATTGACAGTGATATTTATAGGTGGTACCATGCCTGTACTAGTTCCCATATTAATATAAAATGCAAAATGTGCAAAAAGAGAATTTAGTCCTTCCAATTTAAGATCACATTGTTTCACGTCCATTATTAATTCCAAGCTCATATCCCATTTTGAAGTTGTACAATTGTCCATATTAAAACACATTGCCCATGAAAGTACACATGGACGTATTTCATTTTTTTCACAATTCTCACATTTTAGACGAATGTACAGAAACATGATAAAAAATACTTCATTTTAAGATTTTTAACCCATTTAATGTTATTGTATGAATCTTTCCAATTTGATGGTAGGATGTGATTTGTCCAAACATTGTTATTTTCCCCATAGTTTGTTTGAAATTGTGTGATTGCCTGAGGATGTTTAATTATCACTTCTACCTTCCTTGTTTGGCTTCTCACGTACAAAGTATAGTGAGGCCTCGATTTTCAAGTGCTGAGAAAGCACTGAGCTCCACACAAAAGACTGTGATGTTTATAGTTGTAAATAAGTTCACTTGATCGGTGGTAATGGTACAAACCCAACACCACTTCCTGTTTATCTCGTTTACCCATAACTCGGAAAATGTCTCATTTAAGTCCATTGTTTTCGTTTTACAGATCTTTTTATGAAGCTTCACAACCCTCAATTCTGTTTTATTCAATCATTACATTTATGAAATAATGTAGTTTAGTTTCCAACCATTTTGATTGTTTGCAGTAGCTCCCTGTGCACATTCCCTACCTCAGTAACCAAGGACGATACATAGTTATTTCCCCTTAGATCGTGCCATCTTCTTTGTAAAATGCTTGGGGAGTTGTCTGCCCTTTTATCCCTTTACTACACATAATGAAGGGCTACCTTTTCACAACAATAAAGCTCAGTTTGATGTTTCAATTGTATTTTCAAAATATTTTTTGTAAATTTTATGTTTGTTTGTCTCCTATTTTAATGGTATCTTTCAGATATTTTCACTTTTTGATGTTTTTGATTTAACACTACAGGGATCTTAAGTATTCATGGCAGTCCACTGAACCTTATTACAATTAGATTTTTGTTGGGAGTGTTTTGTTTGTCAAAGTATTTTCATGAGAATGTATAGTGTTCTCAAATTAGCATGCATTTGTTAGGGTTTATCCATCCCAGGGTTAAATTTTTCCCTCTTGCAGAATTTGCTGGTCTATTATCAGTATTTCTATAATTACCACTTGGTATTTGCAGTGGAACATGAAGAGATAGTGCTATAGATTGTATAGCTATCAAATCTTAGTTTCCAGGGAGCAAGAAAATGTTGGAATGTTTCAGATCAAATAAAGTATTCTCCTTAAATCAATGTGTGTATTCTCACCTTCAATAGACATCCTACAAAGTGTTTCTCTGCATCATCATCATTTCTTAGTCAAAAACTTAACAGGACATAACTTTTGAGAAATTGTTGAATTACACCAGAGTAAATGGTCTGTTTTAGATTTCAAAATTGATGTACCAAGGTCATTGAATTCTATTTTGATTTGTTTATCTTTAGAAATATTTAGTTTGATTATTCATTGCTTTTCGACTGGATATATTTAGGAAAGGTATACATTATTATAGATGTGAATACTTTGTTTACAAGAAGTGGGATAAGATTGGGTAATTTAGTTTCTTCTTTCAACATACTTACTCATTTTATATGTTCTTTTTACTCTGAAAATAAGTTATGGGGATCATTTTAACCATGTAAACATTTTGTACTTGATATCCATGTAGTGATTCTAATCCATTTGTCAATGATCTCAGTTTGCTCGTCATGTACAAGGTCTTAATCTGTTAAATGTCTGTTTGGATTCTGGGGAAGGAAGTGAGGAAGGTCTCTGCAATGTACTGGATAAGTGGGATAACAGTAATATGGAGAGGGTAAGTGGGATAACAGTAATATGGAGAGGGTAAGGATATAAAGAAGTGGGATAACAGTAATATGGAGAGGGTAAGGATATAAAGAAGTGGGATAACAGTAATATGGATATAAAGATAACAGTAATATGGAGAGGGTAAGGATATAAAGAAGTGGGATAACAGTAATATGGAGAGGGTAAGGATATAAAGAAGTGGGATAACAGTAATATGGAGAGGGTAAGGATATAAAGAAGTGGGATAACAGTAATATGGAGAGGGTAAGGATATAAAGAAGTGGGATAACAGTAATATGGAGAGGGTAAGGATATAAAGAAGTGGGATAACAGTAATATGGAGAGGGTAAGGATATAAAGAAGAAATGACATATCTATTGGAAATTCCTTCTGTTTCACACCATGATTTTATCTTTGCATTTATTTATACATTTTGGTAGGAATTCTTAGTGAATGTTTCAGGAGAATGTCATTTTTGGATCACGCAAATATATGTACGGCTAAGGCTTGTTCTTCAGACCAAAATACTTCTTATCAACAATGATGTTACGATTTTACATTATTCTTCTCCAGCATTATGAACTGTGCTTTACTATGGCAACACATACAGCTGCAGCGAACACTGGATACTCACAGTAGGTAAACAGTTGTGAAGTGTCATTTCAGGGTATTGTTAAGCTACATGAAAGCAACAGACTTTCTAAAGGGCTTACTCATCTCTTCACATATTCAGCAAATTGACTTAGTGTGGCTTTAGAATGACGAGAAAACTTTCATAGATGGAATTTTGTTTGCATTTTACGCCTCAATTGTACATATGTTACATAGACCACCCATAGTAAATATTTCTGTCTCAGAAAAGATTGTTATGAACACTTGTTATGTATTCAAATGCAACAATGTGAATTTGTGCCCTTTAAGTCTTCTTCGTCTTCTTTGAGTCCTTTACAGTGAAATTGTTTTTGTACATATGTAACATAGTTTGTGAGTATTGTCATGGTGGATTATATTGTAGGAATCATGGTTATGCTCACAAATTGCAACATGAATTGGGATATAAGATACCATAAGGATATTATCAACCATTCTTCAGGTGTTCATTTGATCAATTATTTTTTCAGGGTAAAGTTTGTTAAAATACTTATTCCATTTAACAAATGTTAGAGAAAACATTTTCAAAAAGGGTTTTCATCTTAACAGAGATGCAAGTTGTTATTTAGCTATGTGATTCAGCTTTAAAAAGACATGGTAGAAAAGTATCTTGTTGTGCCTCAGTATTAACAGAATCTTCGTAAGTACTTAAGTAATTTATACATAAAACTATGATATAGAAATTACACTACTTTCACTGTCACCTACTTCTTGCACAATACCAGTTGGGGTTCACACAATTCACTTGTTTTGTTTAATTAAATTGTTGGACAAACTTTAGCTGTATGGATTAAAGTGAAATACCTCACCTGTTTTCACTGAGCCATCATTCTGTTCACAAACTCAACTGGTGTGGCCACACAGCACTTTAAATATGTTCACATAAAATTGCTTAAATCAAAATTTAATTTCTCACTTTTAACTTGATAAATTATATTGTAAAAATTCAATCTATGCAAATATGCTATATACTTTGACAAAGAACCATGAGTGAATTGTTTACATTCTGACAGATACAATAGGCCTAGAAAGGTTAGTGCACTGGTGGGTATGTTTCACGTGTCTTTGTCTTATGGGTCTGAAGCAATAAGGCAAACCAGTATTTCTTCTTGTTGTCAGCTGGTGTTATTTACTTAAAGTGAAACTGCATTACTGCAGATTGCATCTGAAAAACATTTCTCATGCATTCTGTTAAATGCCATCATGTACAGCATTTCTTTCTGCTTACATTGCTGAAATTAGATGTAGGCGGATGAAATCAAACTTGTTTTTCTTCTTAAGGCAGACATGTAGAAATATGTGATACTATAGAGACCCACTGGGACCTTTGTTATTGTTGCTCTTTAATGTGATAATGTAATGATGGATTGATGACAAGCCAATGAAAACTATGTATTGTTATGAACAAATATGTATGCTTATCAACTGAGCACAAATTTTATAAACTGTTTTCTGCACAAGAAGAAATATATTCTAGCTATCGAGAATACATAGATTGTTAGAATTGATTTTTTTCTGTAGAGTTTATGTATTGTCAGTTATAGCATTCATAATATAAATTGCAACCCATCTCTCTCTTCGAGGTATTTTGATGGATGTGGTAATTAACTGTAAATTACAAACATTCTTTTATTGAAAGCAAGGAAAGATGAGATTATGGAGTAATTTACTGACAACATCATCACCCCAGCATCTCCTTTTCAGTAGTAGCAAACTTGACATAAAAATTATTATTATATTATGGGTTTATGTTAGGGTTAAACATATTCATGATATATCTCGTACTATGTTTGTTAAGATTAATTTAACAAGTTTTTGAATGTCACTGAAAGAGCCATTTTCAGCTTTAACAAAATTGAATGCCGAGTAAAGGCATTCTTAAGTGAACGCTATCTGTCATTGTTTTGGGGGTTGTAAGTCTGAAGACTCAAATTGCAGTTGTCGGCACAGAAGATTATTTAATCCAGGTTTATTTATATACATTTTGGTAGGAATTCTTAGTGAATGTTTCAGGAGAATGTCATTTTGGATCACATAAATATGTGTACGGCTAAGGCTTGTTCTTCAGACCAAAATACTTCTTATCAACAATGATGTTACGATTTTACATTATTCTTCTCCAGCATTATGAACTGTGCTTTACTATGGCAACACATACAGCTGCAGCGAACTCTGGATACTCACAGTAGGTAAACAGTTGTGAAGTGTCATTTCAGGGTATTGTTAAGCTACATGAAAGCAACAGACTTTCTAAAGGGCTTACTCATCTCTTCACATATTCAGCAAATTGACTTAGTGTGGCTTTAGAATGACGAGAAAACTTTCATAGATGGAATTTTGTTTGCATTTTACGCCTCAATTGTACATATGTTACATAGACCACCCATAGTAAATATTTCTGTCTCAGAAAAGATTGTTATGAACACTTGTTATGTATTCAAATGCAACAATGTGAATTTGTGCCCTTTAAGTCTTCTTCGTCTTCTTTGAGTCCTTTACAGTGAAATTGTTTTTGTACATATGTAACATAGTTTGTGAGTATTGTCATGGTGGATTATATTGTAGGAATCATGGTTATGCTCACAAATTGCAACATGAATTGGGATATAAGATACCATAAGGATATTATCAACCATTCTTCAGGTGTTCATTTGATCAATTATTTTTTCAGGGTAAAGTTTGTTAAAATACTTATTCCATTTAACAAATGTTAGAAAAACATTTTCAAAAGGGTTTTCATCTTAACAGAGATGCAAGTTGTTATTTAGCTATGTGATTCAGCTTTAAAAGACATGGTAGAAAAGTATCTTGTTGTGCCTCAGTATTAACAGAATCTTCGTAAGTACTTAAGTAATTTATACATAAAACTATGATATAGAAATTACACTACTTTCACTGTCACCTACTTCTTGCACAATACCAGTTGGGGTTCACACAATTCACTTGTTTTGTTTAATTAAATTGTTGGACAAACTTTAGCTGTATGGATTAAAGTGAAATACCTCACCTGTTTTCACTGAGCCATCATTCTGTTCACAAACTCAACTGGTGTGGCCACACAGCACTTTAAATATGTTCACATAAAATTGCTTAAATCAAAATTTAATTTCTCACTTTTAACTTGATAAATTATATTGTAAAAATTCAATCTATGCAAATATGCTATATACTTTGACAAAGAACCATGAGTGAATTGTTTACATTCTGACAGATACAATAGGCCTAGAAAGGTTAGTGCACTGGTGGGTATGTTTCACGTGTCTTTGTCTTATGGGTCTGAAGCAATAAGGCAAACCAGTATTTCTTCTTGTTGTCAGCTGGTGTTATTTACTTAAAGTGAAACTGCATTACTGCAGATTGCATCTGAAAAACATTTCTCATGCATTCTGTTAAATGCCGTCATGTACAGCATTTCTTTCTGCTTACATTGCTGAAATTAGATGTAGGCGGATGAAATCAAACTTGTTTTTCTTCTTAAGGCAGACATGTAGAAATATGTGATACTATAGAGACCCACTGGGACCTTTGTTATTGTTGCTCTTTAATGTGATAATGTAATGATGGATTGATGACAAGCCAATGAAAACTATGTATTGTTATGAACAAATATGTATGCTTATCAACTGAGCACAAATTTTATAAACTGTTTTCTGCACAAGAAGAAATATATTCTAGCTATCGAGAATACATAGATTGTTAGAATTGATTTTTTCTGTAGAGTTTATGTATTGTCAGTTATAGCATTCATAATATAAATTGCAACCCATCTCTCTCTTTGAGGTATTTTGATGGATGTGGTAATTAACTGTAAATTACAAACATTCTTTTATTGAAAGCAAGGAAAAATGAGATTATGGAGTAATTTACTGACAACATCATCACCCCAGCATCTCCTTTTCAGTAGTAGCAAACTTGACATAAAAATTATTATTATATTATGGGTTTATGTTAGGGTTAAACATATTCATGATATATCTCGTACTATGTTTGTTAAGATTAATTTAACAAGTTTTTGAATGTCACTGAAAGAGCCATTTTCAGCTTTAACAAAATTGAATGCCGAGTAAAGGCATTCTTAAGTGAACACTATCTGTCATTGTTTTGGGGGTTGTAAGTCTGAAGACTCAAATTGCAGTTGTCGGCACAGAAGATTATTTAATCCAGGTTTCTTTATATATTGCTTATTTTTAATGAAGTAGAAAAATCTGAAATTTCCACAAATGTTGCAGTTTCTGAGAAATGCAATATCTGTACAATAGGATAATGCCAAAAGACATATTAAGGAAGGAAGCTGACTTAACCATTACTCTTTTTGTGGACAATGTCTCTGAATGTAAATCATTTTCAACTGTATCTTTTACGTAAGCAGCAAATAAGTTATCTTCTGTAATTTAAACATGATAGATGATGTGTAATTGCTGCAAGGTAATTTTGTAGCTGTGTCGACAATGATGCTAGAAATGCCAGCAAGCATCAACCATCCATCCCAAGGACAGGTGCTTGAATCTCTCCTTACCTCACAGTCGTTTTGTCTCTGCCTCCCATTCCATCAATGTTTACCATGGATAGGTATTGTGGTGTTTGGTACTCCAAATTATTAACAAGTCTGATATTGTTTTTATTGTCTTTTGAATAAAGGGTTGAAAGCTTTCCTGTCTCTGTTACTTTGCTTTTAAACATTTTGTTATACAATGAAATGTGACATGGACAAACAAAATAATTCAGTGTATTTACAATTAGTAGACACCTACTATTAATGAACCATCACAGAATGGTTTCTGCTAAAATACAACTCCTCAGCTCCTTATGCAGTACTGAACATCATGGAGTCATCGGGTGTTTCATTTATTGATACTGTCTCCTGTATAAGCACACTAAACCCATAGTGTCCTACAGCACCAGGAAGCCGTGGCCAAGTCTGTCCTCTCTCTCCAAGGTGAATGTGTTGGATCCTGTGTAGTAAGCTTTTCCACCAACTTCCACCACAACAGCCTTGAATTCCCCACAGGTCACTTCCTGTACAGCCTTCCCTGTAAAGACACTACCTGTGGCCCCGCTCTCAAAGGTGCGACTCTGACCTGGACCAATGTGACCTTTGAAGTACTGGAGAGCAATTCGTGCAGTGACACCTGACCCACACGGAGAACGGTCAACCTGGGGTGAAAGAAATTAAGTGTTGGTTTAGACGCTAACAATATTTATAGCAGCAGTAAATCAGAAAATCCTTCACAGTGTAATTATCTTTTTATACAGTTCAAGGAATCCCTTTCAGAATACTTCAGTGCAAACCTGTGTTTGTATGTATTGTTACAGAATCGTAGCCCATCATGACCAGAGAGCAAGCACATTTGCTACTATGTATTAGTGCCACCTTGCAAATGTCCTTAGTGCCAGCCAAAGTCTGCTCAGCAGGACATGGAATCAAAACCAGATTGGCAGTGACATGCAGGTGTTTGACAGGTTCCAGCACACTGTGGGAAAACAGCCTGATCCAGGCTGCAGCAAGACCTCATCACATCATTACTGCCACAAGACTCTGAAATAACCGTGGAATGCCAGGTTAAAGCCAACCTTAATGTTTATGGCTAGTTGTGAGGCCGGTTTCCAGTTCCAGGGGGCATGCATTCGTATTCTACTGACCAATACTCTCAGTCAGACACATTTGGATAAGACACACTAGCACACGCGATTCCAAAATCACAGAACGTGACCACTACGGCGGGGACATATCATGATTTAGAATGGGATCATTAGAACTTGAACCTACTTCCATGTCATACATTTGGACATGATGTGCTACAGGGACGATACTTCAATGTGTACGCTGTACTGTATGCTACAGGGACGACACTTCAATGTGTACGCTGTACTGTATGCAAGGGTAATCAGATCGGACATGATCCTCATGGACGATAATGCATCTCCTCACCGTGTCATGTTGTATTTTTCCAGCAGGAGACCATTGTCTCAGTGGCACGTCTATCCTTTTCTCGCTATTTTAACAGATGCACACAATTTGACTTATTACCATTTATGGTGGTGATCCACAAAGCAAACTCTGAGTAGTATTATATATATTATATTATATATCGTCAAACCAATACAGCTTCAACTCGGAGGCATATTGAAACCAAGAACTGGCACCATCCAGTGTGTCTGGAATAAAATGTCATTTCCCAACAGACCAGTACTAATTTGGTCGGAGCGACCCACTGAACAAACGTCTATCAGTTCTTAGGGTCAACAAGCTAGTTAGTGGTTTCTGTTTATGCAGTGAAGTACATTAGGACCAACACCACAAGGCAATAGATCCAACCTTGCAACTGAGTTTACGTGCCCGTGTATATTCACCAATGTGGTAAACATCACCGATCTATGACAACGACTCCACAGGTTCCCATTACCTAAATAGCTAACTTACATTAAATGCAGTTGGAATTCGACACTTTCATCCCATTGGTTGGTCTTCCCCAAGTCCCGATGACAGCCCAGCCCGATACGACTGTACCTATAGGCTAAAAGTAAAGCTATAAATTAACTCGATCACAGCTTACCTGTCTGTCAGCGAAGACGCACACGTTGGCAGTAGCTTTGTTGGCAAGGCATCTTTGCCGTCAGTGATGATGGTGCCGTACAAGAACGCCAGGTCATCACTGTCGGGATGGGAGATTGACAACGTCGACTTCACTGCTTCTGTGTGGAGAGTATTGGTTGATTTTTAAAAAGTTTAAAAAATCCATTCATTAATGGCCTCTGTTTTCTAGTAGATTTGACGTCGCTATGGAGAGCGGAACGTCGGTGGTTTGATCCATGACCGTATCAAACTGAAAGCTGTTAGTAGATGGTGCCTGTTACTCTGTGATTTGGTTCTCAGCTTAAATTCTTTGAATCAAACAGTTTATAAGATAAACCGTCCACATACCAGATACAGCATGAGCTGCTTCTATCACAGCTTGCATTGGTGATGACTTCAAGGTGACGCCGACGTTACTGTCAGTGACGAAGGCGTAGAAAGCGCCCCCATAGCTAACATCAACAGTCTGCATGGAGTACCCAGGCACGTCAACTTTGAGACCTGGTAAAGGACTATTTAATCTGAGGAGAAGTATAATAAGTTGGACATGGTTTATGTATTGAAATGCTATGGTAGTTTCACTCTTTTATTTAAAGTCAGTTTTGAGTCTTATTACAATTGGCCCCTTCACTGTGATCGCGTGAGGTGTTAGCCAATAAGCATCGAGGCTTGGGACTAGCGAACCTTATTCAGACCAGCCTATGTGACTTCTTTACCTCGAAAAAACCCGAAAGCGACAACCTCTGTACGTAAATAATTAGAACCATTATATTTCTGTTATGGAAACAAGTTTCCCAAATTCGTCTCTTATGGTCCAATGAGTTTGGTTAACAATAGGACATTTTTCAGTTATTCCTTTAAGACACAAATTTTTCTACAAAAGAGGATCCAAACAATATGCTTCTACATTCACTACATCCAGCGAATGCTTTGGGTGTAAACTTTATTGCATCTAGTTCTGCGTATTTAAAAATAAGTCAAAGCCCTCAAAACAACCCCACTTTTTATCAAGAAGATCAAAAGCAGTTGACGAGACCTTGTCACTCATACTAGTCTGTCTCACAGTCCCCTAACCGCGTGTTTTCTCTTCCGCCTGTACAAAAGCAATAAATGAAGTAAGTCTAGGTTTCCTCAGGTTCTGAATCTCCTATCTCACTGTGGCTCCATTTAAATATAAATGGTTATGTTGTTTCTATCAATATACATGTATATGTTTTCAAAGACTGAGTGTTAGCCTACAGTCACATTGCAATTATACCTGCGGCAAATAGGAACGATGGCACGCTCTTGAATCTGACCGCCCCGGTTCTCCCCGTGTCACAGCCCGATCCCCCGGGCTGGTACTCCACAAAAGCCTCCACTAGTCCACAGGGACACTGTATTCCCACCCTAGTTTCCGGACTGGTGGGGTTCTTCACGAAACCATGGTCAATTGCATATCTCCCCAATGCAATGACGGCATGGCCACACATGGTGCTGTAGCCTTCGTTGTGCATGAAGATTGCTCCAATGTCTGCTCCCTCCACGTCCGGGGTCACCAGAAGGACCCCGTACATGTCAAAATGACCTCTTGGTTCAAACATCAAAAGTTTACGATAATGGTCAAAGTGTTCCTTAAGATACCTCCTCTTGTCCAGAATGGTTGCCCCTTTGAGTTGTGGAAATCCCGAGGTGATGATCCTCAAGGGTTCTCCTGCAGTGTGCATCTCAGTGGTGATGATCTGCACATCTTCTTGAAAAGATGACTGGAAAGACGATGCCATCTTAGGTGCAGAATACTGGAGAATTAAAAATTAAAAATTAAAACATAAAATATTTATTACCTATTCTGTGTTGCCGTTGAGTATGCTATCGTTATGTGGCAGTATACACTGTAAGGCAGTATATATTGTATATTGTAAGGGTATATTTGATGAGTGGTTAACATGTTGAATTTTGAGTGGTGCCTTAGGTGAAACGTTTAGGTGCTGGTGGTTGTATAGTTTAAAGGCGACATGGGTTTACATTATGCCTTCTTACGCACAAACTGTACATAAACTGGTTGGTAGTGGCAACATCCCACACTTGTTGCCAACAAATAGATTTCAATAAAACAGTCTCAAAATCTTTAGGGCTTGGATCTAATAAATCAGCTTCAGTATAATGTAATCCAGATTTGTCCAAATCATCTGCGTGTCTCATTCCCATGTTTTCCAACAGGTACTGGAACCCAAACAGTATCGTATGCAATGTACTTCGTGTTTGGAAATGTATCCAATTTTAATATCTGACAAATAAAGTCCTTACTGCATCCATTTACACCAGCTTCTACAGCTTTAATTGCTGCAATGTAACGATAATTGCTTCATGTCCATGTCTCAGGGAGTGCAAAATGGACAAAGGTTCAGCTGCAAAACTGAAACAAGGGTAGCTGAACACCATAGCGATGGAGAAATCGGGTATCCAACAGACCCCAGCAGTGCGATCATTAGATGGTTCTTTGGATGCGTCAAAAGGATTGGATTACTACTCAAATTATGTTTGGTCCATCTTATTCACAATTAAATTGAGCTCAAAACTCTACCAAGGCCCTAGCAGAAACGATGGGGTGTGACAGGCGGAGAAGGAGGATACACTGGATTACAATTGTAAAGACTTAGTTTATGAAATACATTTCAATAGATTGATGATCTTGTAACATGTTACACAAATGCGTTGTATGGTGTGACCATGTTAATCTGTGATCAAAATAAACACCGAGACGTTTGAACACTGACACTGGTTCCAATTTATGGTGCCGAGGGTAAGATTCATAATATAGGTGATTTTACGTCTTGTGACTGGGATATCTTAAACCCGCATTTATAACACCAAGTACTGATTTTATTTAAGCAGGTTTGGATAGACTCTTAAGACAAACTGAAATTGACCACACACAACCCCTCCCAACAAAAGAAAACCCGCAAAAAAACCTCCAACATAGAAACAACAACCAAAAAAACAACAAAAAACAACCAAAAAAAAGAAAAGAAAAAAGGTTACAAAACAATTCCACTTAAAAAAGGTTACCTCTAATTCCACAATTTGAAAAGCAAACTTGGCCTCCAAATTACGCCATGAGCCTTTTCGATATACAGAAAGACACAAGATATAACTTTGTGTTTCAGTTTCCAGACGAACATACTGATCAAAACATGAGCGTACGCATCTGAATCATGACTGGATTTGGTTAAGAAGCTCATTTCGTTCAAGATGATAGTTCATGCGATAAGTTACTACTGGTCTATATGATGCAAGAAGCGATGGGTCATTTTAAGGCATGTCTCCATGTCTTGGGTAAGGATCCTGAGCACCAAGATAAAGATCCCGAATAACAGCTCTAGCAGAACCTGGTATATGTACAGAAGAAACCACTCCTACTCGGGTTTACTAGAGATTGTGAACCCTGAGAGTCGGGAACATCCCGAGGACCCGTGAACCCTGAGAGGAGGGATGTTCCAGACTCTCAGGGTTCACAATCTCTAGTAAACCCGAGTAGGAGTGGTTTCCCCGACTTATCAACCGTTTTTGCGTAAAATATCTTTTAAAATAATATATAACGATCGACAACAATACGCCCCGAGCAGAACAACATTGATGGGACAGCACGCAAATGATGGAACAGCCGGTTTCAACTGGGATGCGACGGGCAGCCAACACCTTGCCTTGCACGCGCAATGCACGTGTGTCCTGCACGTGCGCTTCCCGCACTACCCGTCCTGTGAGGAACACACGTTTCATACTGACAAACAATCTCATTCTTCACAGCGATCCTTCGTAGCCTAATGGATAAAACCGCCAAGTTCGAGAGCGAAGGGTTAAAGTTTCGAAACCAGTTATCGCCTCTATATATTGGAAGTTTTCAATACTGTGATATTTACTGAATACTCTGAATCAAGTGATTGGGGTTGATGGAGTAGCCCTGCAATGGTTTACATCATACCCATACAGCCGATACCAAGCTGTTGCTGTCCAGAATGCGAGCTCAAGTAAGTCACTTCTCAAGTTTGGAGTGCCGCAAGGATCTGTCTTTGGGCCTATTTTATTCATGTTATACACATCTGTCTTTGGAAATCTAATCCTCTATCATGAATGTGGGCCATCACAGTTATGCTGATGATACTCAGTTGATGAAAGCATTCTTTCCAAAGGATTCTCAGTCTGCAGTTGATCAGATTAAGATTTGCACAAACAAGATTCAGTGTTGGATGGATGTTAACATGCTGAAACTCAACACTGATAAAACAGAAGCCATGTTAGTCGGGACTTGTAAGAACAGGAAGACAGCAAATATATCAACAATATGTGTTGGAGATTCTCATGTCCAGGTATCAGACTGTGTCAGGAACCTTCTCGACAGTGACCTCTCAATGGAGCATCATGTTAGCATGATCTGCATTTTCACTTGAGAAATATTGGCAGTATCAGACATCTCCTGACCACTAACGCCGCTCACATGCTGGTCAGAAGCCTAGTCCTATCTAAACTGGACTACTGTAATAGTCTGTTGGTTAACATCTCACAGGAACAGTTCTCCAGACTACAGAGGATACAGAACATGGCGGCAAGGATTGTGTCCAGGACAAAGAAATCCGCGCACATAACACCTGTGCTCATCAATTTACATTGGCTCCCTGTACAGGCACGTGTGCAGTTCAAGCTATTGGTATTGGCATACCAATGTTACCATGGATCAGCCCCATCATATCTTGTCGAACTCACACAAGTGTATAAACCGTCCAGAGTCCTTCGTTCTGCAGACCAGCACCTCTTTCACATTCCAAAGACTAGCTTGAAACGATTTGTCCGAAGATCTTTCAATTATAATGCTGCAGTTCTATGAACAAACTCTCAACAGAACTCAAAGAACTCAAAACACTCTCGCTTTTCAAGTCTCAGCTAAAATCATATATCTTCCGACAGTCATACCTGGACTAAAATCTACTGCCTTGTGTTTATGTCCCATTGACAGAGATAATATTGTAGTATATTTGTAGCGCTATGACCATACACATAGTGTATGGAGTTGGCGCCATATAAATGAACTCATTAGGTCTTCAGACGAAAGTCTTGAAGACCTACTGTTATTATCCGAATATTATGTATTACAGATTAAAGATGAAAATGCAGCAGAGAGGGTTCGGGTGATCCTGGCACAGTCAATCAATCAGTTTATTGCATGAAGGCCAGAGGCCCATATACAAAATAAATATGTATAATATGTACAACATATACAACATGCGACACACACGTTACATTGAATCTCTTCTCAATATAAGCGCGTGATAAAAAAATAGAGCTACCTTATATTGTAATAGGGATGCTTTACATGAAAGTATTGAATACAGTTTTGTAGCATTAATATTTGATTGTAGCCATTGTGGAAAATACAGTTGCCTTAAATCACTATATGCAGGACAAAGAAATAGAAAGTGTAATTCATTCTCTACAGTATTACAAAATGGACAGAACCTTTGTGATTTTATAATAGATGAATATCTTCCTTGATTGATATATAAATCATTTAGGCCAAGTCTCAGGCGTATGAAAACATTACGAAGCTTTTTACTACGTAAGTTGTATAGATACGACTCAGGTTCAAGTAAAGATTTAAACTCACGATAACAATCATATCTTGAACTTTCATATAAAGATGAATGCCAGTCTTGTTTAAAGATATCGATAGCCCTGGTACGAAAGAGTTTGATAAATGCATTAACGTCGCCCAGGGTTTGGGATAGCCAAACAAATCCAAAGCCGTATCTAAACAAAAGATTACAAATACGGGTTGCCCAAGTATTTTTACCAATATTATCAAGATGGACAATCATATTGTAGGTTTTTGGGCAGACGATGTTCTGGCATATTTATTACTTTACACCAGTACTTTAAACAGCGAGAGTAAGAAATTATGTACAAAGGAAATCTCCCACATTCACCGTACACCATATTATTAGGGGTAGACATCCCAACATTTAAAAACCTTTTACATGCAAGAAGGTGAACCTTTTCAATGGCATAAAATTCCTTATTGCCCCAAATTTCAGACCCATAAAGAAGAATAGGCTGTACTTGGGAATCAAACAATTTGAAAAATATATTGGGACCAACAACCCCCAACTTTGGTATAGCAGAGAGCAATTGAAGTAGGGCCCTTTTCCCTCTAATTGCCAAATTAATAATGGATTTATTCAGATTTAGTGTATGTGTAAACAGTATCCCTAGATATTTATATTCGTTAACAACAGTCATACGTTCACATTTAAAGTACCACTTTTCTGTAGCTGCCGTTGGACCACCCTTAAGGAAAACAACAATTTTGGTCTTTTCAAGATTAACATCAAGTCGCCAGTTATCTGAATAAGATGAAAGTGTATCAATTTGTCTCTGAAGGCCAATAACAGTACTTGACATAAGGATCACATCGTCGGCAAAAAGCAAATATTGTCTCTGTTTTTGTCTCACAACGATATTTCCATGCAGACACATACCAGTAGTTAAAATGATTATGAATATTTTTAAAGGAAACTTTGGGGATATATGCAACAACATCTGCTAAACAGACTGGAACAGTTTTTTCCATGAAAACTTACATTTCCGTGGAGCAGTTGAGTGGCCAAACTTGTTTTCAAAAATGCGAAAATGGGTGACGTCAGCGGTTCCGCTTTGGGGACCTCTGTGGGCTAAAGCACACACATTTTTGTAAAAGTAACATCATTTCTTTACTTCTCAGTGGTTACTAGACCTAAAAAAATAGGCAAAAAAATATCTCTTATATACTCATGCCAATAATGGTTGTCACCCCCTTCAAAAAATTTTAATTGAAGAGGGTGTGTGGGGGGTTGGGGTGGGGAGGGGGGTGACAACCATTATTGGCATGAGTATATTTAAAAATTGGTCTGCGGTCCCTACTGTGGTTACTTCCACAATTACGACATTTGGATATATTTTTTAATAGTGTTTTATATACCGCATACAGGATTACTATTTCTACACCGTCTGACACTTGTAACATCTAATAGCTGCTTGGAGTCAGACTCACGTCAAAGGATTGATGATACATCTTGACATGGTCAAGTGAGTGGGGGTTTGAAAATGGTATCTCCTTTTCATTTCCACGCATAAGTCGTTGGGCATGTTTTACCTGTTGACCCTTTAGTTGCTCAGCTACCACATTCACATCTGTGTCAACATAGGAAATAATATCCTCAGATTCACTATAAGACTATTCAGGACCGAACTCTTAAACACAAACGTCACAGATTTTTAAGCTACATTCAGTGCAAGTTTTTCAGCCGTCCTGCAGAGAATCACCAAATCTAACTTTTCCAGTTTTTTCATGTGCTGTACATCGCCAATGTTTTGGTGGTTTTTTCAATTATATCTCGGGCCATAGCAATTGGAAATTTAGTCCCGTGTCAACAGAAGTGAATATGACAACAGAAGTTACTATGACAACAGATGTGACTGGCACTCTTGTTTTTGCTTCCAACGTTTGGATATCATCGACTCGTATCTCCCGGAAATCTCTCGAGGTTTCCTCAAATGAGGCAGAATGAATATCATCATCCTCGTCCCCATCAGCGTCGCTTTCCACATCGAAATATTACTTTGACCAATCTGAGATGTCATAACTACTCGTAGTCAGCATATAACTAGACGACTTTGCACTATACCAAGGTGTGCTCGACGTCTAGCCGGCGAATTCAAGTTCTTTGACGCACTTCACTAGGCAGAGAGGCACTATGGATTCAGGCATAAACGAGGGTAGAAACTCAACCTATCGACTAATACATGTGCATGGATTGATAAAACTTTCATTTATCTTCAAAACGAAACACTTACCTCTTCTGAAAACTACTCATTTTATTACTTAAATGACCTGGGCCCCGATCCACAAAGCGTTCGTAACGTTACGACCTGTCGTAACTCTATTGTTTATCATAGACATGCAAATGTCGTAGCGCTACGAACGTTTTGTGGATCGGGACCCTGAAACATAGAGACCCCACCTACTTTCTACCATTTGTCGGCAATACTGTTATGGTAATTAGCGGTTGAATAAAAAGTGGAAACGCATTAAAACGTATTTAGGAACAAATAGAAACTGCTAAAAGTTCGTCCCCCTTCCTCAGGCTTCAGAGCGTCATGTAATCACGGTCCGTTTGATACGATTCCTTTTTTGATACCACTGCTAATCACCATAACCAAAATGGTCGACAAATGGTGGAATGTTGGTGGGGTCTTTATGTTTCAGGTCATTTAGTAATAAAGTGAGTCGTTTTTAGTGGAGGTAAGTGTCTCGTTTTGAAGACGATTGTTTGTTTTAGTAATGCATGCACATGCATTAGTCGATAGGTTGAGTCTTCATTCTTGTTTTTGTCTAAAACTGTTCCGCTCAAATTTCTTGCGGAAAGGTGCGTCAAAGAAAATGCACTCGCCGTATAAACTCTATGTAGGCCTTGTCTGGAATACGTGTTTATTCATATGAACTAAACTACTCGAGGCGACACTGCGAAAAAACAGAGGCCTCATAGTGTCCTTGCGAAAGAATGTATTACACAAACATAGCAAAATACGCCGATATTTGACACTAACTATTCTTACAATGACTTACCTTAGCCAATATAAACCAAACATACCAATAAATATCAAATCCTGCAAGCCCTAAAAGCAGAGCGGCACGTACGTCCGATCTCGTCGACGGCCCCGGTGAAATTTCAGCGCTTAAGTTAGAGTGACCTCCCTTTGTCGTTAACATTCATACCGCTTGATACTGTGAGGAGCTTGATTATGCACACTTGTTGATTCGAGCCGTTTTTTCGTTCGTATCCACCCTGCGAGGCGATGAATCTAACGTCTGCCTTCGACTTACCTGCTTGCCTAAACTACAGTCGGAAATGTTATTTTGCCCGTAAGGCCAGATAAACTATTCACAGACGGTTGTAACTACCGATCCACCTACCTGTGGATTGAAGTGTTTCAGTCACAATTAAGGAGTCTTATCAACAATTTTACAGGAAAAAGATTCGAACGAAATCAGGAAGTTGAGACTATTCAAAGTCAAATGATGGAAGTAAGTAACGTAACGCCTGTTGTATTTGGGATTACACTTTCTCAGTATGTAACGGGCTATAGACATGTGTGTATGCGACTCCTTTTTGAAAATACCAATATATAGTCTTCACAAAACGTCAAATCCATTATCTTGAGACTAAAATTAACCCTATATTGAAGACATCGCAGAAACACCCACACAAATAATTCTCTGCGAGGAAACACCTCGCCCTGGGTTTCCACTTCAAGGGATCCTCATGCGAACGTAGAAAATCCCCTTCTAGTCACATCCACCATGTCATCAGGTGTCAAAAATACAATCATTTCCCCCTCATGCCTTTGTGAATGTCAAGTCATAGCGCTTTCGTGCTTCAGCTAATCAGGAGTCAGCTTTTGTAGAGAAAATCTTCAGAGATACGAGTTGATCACCGACTTGAAACTAAAAAGCGAGCTTTAACTGCACAATACTTTTACCCGCCATTAACCCGAATATCAAGTTTCTGTGAACCGTTAAATTACATCTCGTTAACTTGGAAAAGCAATTGATTTTGTTGTTGATAAGCAACTGACTCTGTTCAAAGATGGAAAATTATTGGTATGCGGTATACCATTGAGGGCTATTGCAGGAGATGTAGGTTGTCATTCATCGACTATCAGCCGATTGGTCAGAAAACATCAGCAAAGTAATGGCAGTAAGTAAAGTGAGGTTTGGATGAGTTCCTTTGCTATGCGTAATGGTAATACATAGACCCTACTGAAAAAAATGGGATGTTGCGATACTATCATTCATGTGTATTAAAGACGTTCTTGTAACGAGCAATGGATAATGATGCAGCTCCTCGATATCTATCCGTATCTACAGAAAGCCTTTCACTTAACGTATCAGTCTACAGTGAGCTTGCTACTCAACGCCTCAGTTACTGTTGATCTTGGAAACAAGTTAGCACCGGTCCAGGACGCTAATCTCTAGATTGCTTTGGTACGGAGGTCATGCGTCGATGAGCTTAAATCATACACACACTGTTTCTCCTTGGCCAGAAGTGTGATGTGAATATATCATGACAGTTGAAAGTCTTCTTGACCCTGACATTCTCTTCCCCTGTTGAACCCTTCCGTCTTCTGACATTGGTAAATGAACGCCATCATAACGTGAAACCATGTCTGCATGCAGCGCTCGAAATTAACCACTCGGACCAACAGCTTTTGTTTTCTGCAGGTCCTTATAGCCGACAGCCTTTTCATCCCCAATAACTAAGAGCATTATTTCCATATTAAAATACAGGGCCTACACATTCTGATCAGGACCCACAACTTTTTATGGTTCTGGGTCGTTAGTGCCGGCAGCTTTTCAGGGTTAAGGGCAAACACTGTCTGCATGGGTGATTTTAGATACTTACGATGACACAAACTCGTTTGTATAACTGAGAATACCTATGTCCATTTGAATCCTGCAGAAATATGTTGCATGGTTCCGAGGATATTTGGTTCAAATATAAGCTTGCTATACGTACACTGTTAGCGGTACACAAAGTCCTTCGTAATCCCCCGGCTGTGTACTTCTCAGTCACCATGAGTAAATAGTGTTAAACAGTTTACAAAAGGTTAACTACTGAATATAATATGTGTTATTATGTGTAACATAGAGATTTGGTAGTGGAGGTTGGTGCGACACTACCTGTAACCCATAGGCCTGGGTTGGAGGTGTTGTGACGTCATCTGTTTGCTTGTTTGTTGTTTAACGACGCACTCATCAATATGTCGGCTATATGACGGCGGTCTGTACATAATAGAGTGTATGCCAGAACATCCAGTCACTGACACCGTGAGCATCAGTACCATCAGATGCATCAATCAAGGCAGCGAACCTGACCTGCGCTATCAGTCGCCTCTCACAATAGGCCGCATGGCGTCCAGTAGGACATTCCTAAATCTGATCTGATCTATCAATGCAAAACCGTACATACATATACCTTAAGACAATTTGGGGAATCGAACAAGATATGTAATATCCTCTTGCAGTCGAGGATGTTGTGATACAATGAATAATAACGAGATCTGGACAGTCCTAGAATTGGTTGCAATTGAACGTCAACAGTTGAAGACTAATGAGGTTACAAACATGCTACATCACATTTTCCGTCAGATTACATTTCATTTTCTAAGTGGCCCCTTTATACAAAAATATCTAACTGCTGAAACAAACACGCCAGCAATTTAGTGTGTGGTCCATGACTTTCGGGGCAGATTACCACCATTATTTTCCTCACCACCACGCCTCACATAGGGCTTGATGATTCACGGAGCTCATGGATTTCGATCTGTGCCAATGAGAAGAAACTGGAGCACGCACTGAGCGTGGTAATAATGATTACTGACTCAAAGTACTTACTAAAAAGCAAACTCAAGGGAACGTGACGCCTTAGCACTGATTTTTTGTATGGATCTGTAACTTACACCGTTCCTGTCTCAATAGGAAGACGTCGGTTCTTGTCATGTTTGGGAAAACTTATTGGCGTCAATATTCAGGGGTTTGGTTGAGAGGTTCCGGGGCATTCTACTCACATAAACGTTGAGGTTCCAGGATTCTAGGGTCGATGTGATGACGCCAGTGCTTTTTCATTGCCTTGATATATTTTAGGCGATTAGGTTCATTTGTATTGTAAATCAATTTACGTGGCGAGTTGATGTGGA